AAGTTGTCACCCCAGGAAATTTATTTTTGTACTAAACAAACTGGGTCCAATTTTTTCACCAACTATAATCATCATATAGTTTAATATTATAAAAAAAATTTTTTTGATCAAAAATCTCCGACCCTTCTTTTCCTAGAGCGCCCTTCATATATCTAATTTCATTATTATAATTAATTTATTTATATGCTAATACCCGTTTATATTATATTTTACACCTTTTCAAAAAATAATAATAGTGAAATATAAGCTAATTAATTTCTATAGTGTATTTAGATAGAGTAATTTTATGGATCACGGAAAATCAATAAATAAGAAAATTGAAAAAATTGATCAAGAAATTCAAACCAGTCCAATTTCATATCGTTACTTAATCACTGTAATAAACCAATAAAATAATCGACTCATGGAAAATATCTCAAACAACAGGGTAGTAAATATTCCAACATTCTAAATGTAACAGACCTTTACTCTCAGATTAATTTAAATGAAGGAATTTAAATGATTTGATTTGATTATTTTAGACAATAATTCTACACAGAAGGTTTAAGGAATATATTTAACTAGAATAAATTAGAATTTCAAAGAAATCGGAGAACTAGATGATAGAACCTTTAACATGTATAAATAACGTTGTAGTTTTCTCAACTTCATGTATCATATCTTTATCATCATTATCATCATTATCATCATTATCATCATTATTATTAATTATCAATTAATTAATCAATCATCATTTAATAAATAACACTGTACTTAATTTTGTCATTGTCCTTGTTGTTGTCTTCGAATTTATAATTTCGTAATGATAATAAATCTATCTCTAACGATGAATTCATACTAATCCCGTGCATAATTATTTTTCTTTTATTTTATATTTTATTGAGGTAATATTTAATAAATTTTATTTAGAGTAGTTTGGAAGCGCACCTGACTTAGTAACAAAGAGGAAAACAGCTAGAAGGACACTCACCGAGAAACATGATCAGTATATATAGTGTAAAATCTAAAGAAGATATTGTTTAGTATTTCTTAGTATAAGGAATTGTTTAATGAGTGAAAGATAGTTTTGAGAGTAAAGCATCTTAAATTACGGAAATTGTATAAACATTGTTGGTATTTAAATAATAAATTTACTGTGAGACGTGGATTTTTATGCAATGTCTGAAGTTGAAAAATTATAGTAATAGTTATTTTAGTAGATCAGATATTCCCATGGAAAAAATATTACATATGTAAACTCGATAAGTCGGTCTCGCGATAAGCTGACCAAAATTTTCATCCCTTTTTCTTAATATTTGGGAGCTTTTCAATAGAAACAGACCATTTTGTGAACAAAACAATTTTGAATTAATGCCATAGCTATACGTAACTCTTCACGTAGAATGATTTTGGCTTAGAAATCGTACCCACTTTGCATAGTAAAATATCGATATGCTTTAAAGTTTCAAAAACGATAGTAAGCGGATCTTTTTTTTGATTTCCTCAAAACATCACTTTCACAACATGGTCTGTTTCTATTGAAAAGCTCCCATTTAAATAATTTAATTCGATGAGTCGGTATATGAGCTCACCCCCACATGTAGTGGATGATCTGCATTGTGCAACAAATTATTTAAAAAAAAATGATCGAAATAAATGAACTTCTAACTGAAATATTCAAATATATTGAATATGATTACCAAGCATTATATTCTTGTATTCTTGTCAACAAACAATGGCACAATATAAATATTCCAACTTTATGGAAGGATCCATTTCTTTGTGTTGACAGCATCAAAATAATAATTAATTGTATGTTAGAAGAAGATAAGGATTTCTTAACTAGAAATTGCATTAAATTAACTTTTGAACTATTGGAGGGGCCACTATTATACAATTATGCTAGATTTTGTACTATATTTTATCAGTATAATAGTTTTATTTGCCTGGTAAAAAATGGAGCAATAAAACTAGAAAATAAATTAGTAAACTTTGTTTTAGATCATTCAGCAGGTATTAAAATATTTAGTTCTTGTAATGTAGATTTTAATTTATTAATTAATCATCATAGATTTGATAATTGTTTTCAGAATCTTTATGAAATAGATTGTAGTGATTCTAGTAGTGGTAAATTTTTTGATAAATTAGCAAATATTTGTAAAAATATTCAATCATTAACAGTATATTGTAATAGTAATGACAAAAGTATATATAATTTAGCACAGCTAATTAAAGCACAAGAGCAAATTAAATATTTATCTATTACATCACCAATCTTACCAGATGAATTAAAAAAAGCAATATTAACTCATTCACAATCAATAATTTATTATGAATCTTATGACAATGAAGATAATGTTGACAATTTCTTGTTACCAACTTTTAAAAATTTAAGAACTTTTTGGTTAACAAATTATACTGATGGTAAAATGGTAAATTTGAAAAATATTTCACTGCCAAATATTGAATCTATAAGGTTACGTACTTCTCAACCATATATGTCAGACTTGTCTGATTTTATTAATATCAATGGAAAAAATCTTAGAGATCTGTATGTTTGTAGTTATAATGATGGATTCTTGAGAGAGCTATTTCAATCAATTTCACAACATTGTAAAAATTTAGAAGATTTATCTATAACATATAAGGATGAATTAGACCAGGAATTGATGGAAGTACTTAATAATTGCATTAAATTAAAAAGTATTGGATTTAGTAAATATGCTGAGGGTATAGATTTTGATAAAATATTGACAGTATTAAATGAAACTTTACCAAAAAACTTAAAGTTGATAACTTTTAGTTGTAATGTTTATAATATTAGTAACCATTCTTTGGATATTTTAATGAAGAATTGGAGAGGACCCAAACCTTTAGTAATAGGATTTGATATGAAACTTTGCTAGAAAGTGATGGAAGAAAAATGTTAGAAAAATATCAAGATTTAGGGTTTTTAATAATCAGTAAAAATTGTAATTTGTTTTATTGATGAATTAGAAAAATCAGAAAAATACTTGAGAAGTGGATAAAAACCTTTTAATCTTTCAACAATTATAGCAACTGTTCATCCAAATAATTATTTGATTATGATATTTTATGAATAAATATTATTCATTAGTCTTTTTATTATTATAAGAAAGTGTTATTCGTTTTATTCGTTTTATTCAAATTACTAGTTTATTCATTTTATTTATTCAAATTATTAGTTTATTCATTTTATAAATAGGTCTTATTTTAACAAGATAATAAACAATAATTATTATTATATTTATAATCTATATTACTACTACTATAATTGCTAGTACTATGACTTAAGGAAAATGTCAGCTACTACTATTTATTATTATCACTATATTCAAGGACTAAGGAAAAATAGATTGAATTGGTTTGAATAAAAATTTATTCGAATAAACCTTCAATGTAATTCGAATACTCAAACTAATAATAATAATAATAATAATAATAATAATAATAATAATAATAATGACGAATAGAACGAATAATTCGAATAAACCTTATTCGAATAGAAAACCCTAAATCATGGGTATTCAAATCACTAGATCCTCTCCAGAAGGACCTTTTTGTTATTGGGCTATCCTTGAAATCCGATAAAAAAAATACAATCTGCAACGTGACATTTACTTTTTTTTTTTTCAAAAAAAAAAAAATGCCAATTCAAATTTTAAAACCAAATCCCATCAAATTCAATGAACAAGTATTTGACATTTCATTTCATCCAAATCAAAATGTTATTGCAACAGGATTAATAACAGGAGAAATTTTTTGGTAGTTTAACTTTAAAAAGTTTAAAATTTTTTTCTCTTTATTTTAATTAATTATTTTTTTAATATAAGTCATCGATATTCGTGTGATTCAAATCAAGAGAATGAGAAATTGTTATCATTGAGAGCACATAGAAAACCTTGTCGTGGGTTAATATTTAATCATGATGGAAGCAGTTAAATATCTTATTTAGCATTTTAGCATTATTGATGATTTTTGAATGATTTATTAATAATTATAAATTATTATTATTAGATTTATTTACAATTTCAAGAGATAAATCATTGAAAAAAATTAGTTTGGAATCTTCAAGTGTCATAGTTGAAAAATCTAAAGCTCATGAGTATTTACTATTTACAAGAGAAAAATTTTATGTGAAAGAATTTGGGTTCTTTATTAAAATTTATTATTATATTTTATTAAATTTTTACTGATAGTAATCCAATCAACTGTATTAAATTATTAAATGAAAATTTGTTAGTTACAGGAGATGATGATGGAATTATAAAGGTGTGTGTAAGAGATGGGTGAGGACAAGAACAAATTTATTTATTTATTTTTTAATATATTTGTAGTTATGGGATTTAAGAAGTGAAAGCAATGTTATGGAATATTCAGAACATGAAGATTTTATTTCAGATTTAGATTTTAGTTCTGATTCAAGAACTTTAATTTCTGTTAGGTAAAAAAAAACATTATTATTATTAATTAAAGGTAAATATTATTAATTAATTAATATAATTATTATTACTATTATTATTAGTGGTGATGGTACATTATCAGTATATGATATAAGAAGACCAAATTTGGTTGCAATGTCAGATGAACAAGATGATGAATTATTATCTATAGCAATTGTCAAAGTATTTATTATTATCAACAGTTATTGCTATTATTCTTGGTAAAATATTAACTTACAATTATCATCAATATTGTAAACAATGTGACAATTGTTAGGATGGTAGGAAAGTAGTTGTTGGAAGTCAGGAAGGAGTAATAAATTTATTTACATGGGGTGATTGGGGTGATATAAATGATAGATTTTTAGGACATCCGAGCTCAATTGATTCAATAGTTAAAATAAACGAAGAGACTTTATGTACTGGCTCAAGTGATGGAATAATCAGGTAAAATTTATTTATTTTATAAAATTTAAAAAAAAAATTTATTTCTAAATATTTCCTCTTATATTCAGGGTAATTGGGATTTTACCAAATAAGTTCCATGGAGTTATTGGAACTCATGATGAATTTCCAATTGAATGTATAAGATTATCACATGATCAAACATTTCTTGCTAGTTGTTCACATGATAATTTTGTTAAGTTTTGGGATGTAAGGTATTTATTTGAAGAGGAGGATGGTGAAGAAGACAACGATGATGATGATGATTCAAAGATGGATTTAGATGATAGCCATAACAAAAATAATAAGAATGATGGTAAAGGTAAAAATGTTGATTTCAACCAATCAAATGGTTTTTTCGCTGATCTTTAAATAAAAAAAATTTTGATGCTCAGCACAATATACATTTATTTTATGAAAAAATGCTATGCAAAGCCATCAAGAAAATAGAGATGATCAAATATTAATGTAAATGCTACCTTTTTTTTGTTAATTACATGACTAAGAAAACTTTTTTCCTACACAAAAATTTGTAATGAATTATTGTCAAATATTTATTAAATTTAATGGTTAATAATAATTATTCAACAACATTAATAATAATTAAAGCTCTTGTTATTTTATTCGGAGAATCCTTCTTACTAATTTTTCATCCAAACCCAATAGCATACGATCTTAAAATGGAGACAATTCTAATTTCAACAATGATTCTACATTCCCAACTGTATTTTCCAAGTGGAACTTCAAATAATTTAGAATTGCAGAAAAATGTTGGCATTATATAGATTTTTTAACCATTCCTTCTTCAGAGCCTTATCTAATTCTGGCATTAATTGTTTGTTAATCTTATTTCAAGTTCTTGCAAAGATGTTCTATGGGGTAAGATCGGAGATTGAGAAGGCCAATCTTCTAAAATTTTAATTCTATTTTCTTTAATCCAATCTTGAACAGCTTTGGCATGCTGCCATCTTGAAAGGAGTAATTTATATTATCAAATTTATTTCTAACCAAAGGATTCATTTTCTCATCTACCTTAACTCAAGGATCCAACCCTTTACCAGAAAAGCATCACTGCTGATGGAACAAGGCTCTTGATATCATAACAATAGCCATTCTTTCGCCAACATGATCTGGTCAATCATTTTTAAATATTGTAACCATGATTCATCATTCCAAATCACAGTTTTTTGTGATAGTTGAATGTTTTCTTTCTCTCCTTTGGTTTTTCTGATAAAAAGGGGTTTTATTGCAATGATCCACGAGTAAATCTTAAGCTCATGAAGGTTTTTACAATTTGTTTTTTGTAGGAACATTTTTACCACTTGCTATAGTGAATTCTCTTTGTATTAGCTCAACAGAATTATGATTGTTATTAATTATAACAGCAACCAAAACTCATCAGTGTTGACATGATGTTCTCTTTTTTAGACTAAAATAATTATAACAATAAATTAGCTATAGTTGGCTCAGTCTAAAGACCTCCTAAATTTTGGGAAAATTTTAAAAGTATAGAAGTCATTTTCTGTCCTACCTTTTAAAAAAATAG